CAACTAATAGCTTTATCACTGCCTGAAATTGCATGTGCTGTGCTAAGCAAACATTGTAAATTATAAACTAATTTTATCTTTGGAAAAAAGGAAACTTCTATTCAAAAATTGTAAATGTTTGTAATAGTCAAGAACACTGTGAATTCATCAATGCCAAAGTTATATCCACAGTCACTGCACTGAAAAAAATGCTTACTATTACTTTCAAGTGAACAGGCAGTCTGATTGGAACAAGTTAATAACATTTCCTAGTGCCACTTTCCAAGGAATGTTATTAAATGCCACCTTGTTGAAAAAGAGAGATGTTTTAAGAAATTAAAAACCAAGTTGTGCTAGTATGCTGTTCTCATATGTATAACACTCTCAATAAGGTAATCAGCACCTCCTAACACTCCATAAAATATGATCAGCAATCTTGATGTGGAAGAAAATCAATTTTATGTATAGAGACATATATATATATTATATATTAGTTGGATATTCAAAAAGTTTTACTGGGCAGGAATGAACCACAGTGGGGAGGGAGGGAAGTGTGTTCAGCAGTTTTACTGCTTTGAGATCTGAAAGCAAGGGGTTCTGATGAAATGATCTTTAAGGTTAATAAGATCAAGTAAGAGATTATGTGTTTCTCTGTTTTGGAGAACTTTGCAGCAGGCAAAGGGCTGAGCTGAGCTCGGGACAGTGCGGGGCGGCTCGGCTGGGATGGGCAAAGGCAGCTCCTGCTGCTGCTGGAGCGCTTGGCAACCCAAAAAGGGGGGAGGATTTTGCCCCCTGCGTACGGAGCACGATTTTGGGTCTGAATCGTTCCCAGGGACGTGTCACCTTGAACAAGGTGTTTCCCAGCGACATTCCAAGAGCCCTGAATGCTGGGATTCGGGTTTTTGCAGCGATGGCTCGGTGGAAGCTCTTTGGGGAGAGGGCAGTCCGGCAGGTGTGCTGTCCCACACTCGGAGGGCAGACGGCATCGCTTCCCCCTGCGCTCCCAGGGAGCTGCCACCTCTCCCCGGCTGGGAGAGGGGGGGCGGCGGGCGGAGGGAATCCCTCATTCCCCACTCCGGGGCTTCCGTGGAGAGCCGGTACCTGCTGCTGCCCGTGCCCGGGTGCCCGTGGCCGGTGTCCCGGCGCTGCCGGATCCTGCCTGACCGTTCCTTGTGGCGGAGCATCCGCGGCTCAGGGGCCACGGGACGGCCGCGGGGGGAGCTGGCGGGGCCGGCGGCACCCACAGGGAAGTGTCCCCCTGTCCTTGAATCCCTGCGGCATCCCTTGGGAGCTGCAGCCCGGGCACGCGTGTTTTCCGAGGCTGCGGGCTCCTGGCATGGCTGGGGACAGGACAGGATTGGGGCAGGAGCTGCGTGGTGCCCTCAGCACATGCCCTTGTGCGGTCCAAAGAAAGGGAGTTTTATTGCATTCCCAGGAACTGCTCCAACAGCTGTAGACTTCCCCCTGCCTTCTCAGGGGAAGGATGTGGTGACAGCAAGAAGGCAAGTGGTGGGATTGGAGGGCACTTGCTGCATTTTGGTCAGGTGTGTAACCTGTGGAACGGGTGTGTTTCCTAGGAGAAAACATTCTGGAGTGGCAGAATGGTTGCCACAGACACCATGTGAGTGCCACACCACGGCGTGAGCCTCCAGGCCCTGCAAGTCCTCCCCCAGACTTGGTCAAGTGTGAACTGACTGCTGGGAGTAAGGAGTACAGTTTGAGTGTCCTGATGTCCCTGACCCAATGCTGTGCTGTCACCAAGTGCTGTCATTCTGATTTAAACTGTCCTTAAATGTGCTGGAAGTCAAAATTGAAGTACGAAATGCTTGTGGAAAGCTTGGTGTTCCCCAGGGAATGCTTTAGGGATCTGCAGCTTCTGAGCTGCAGAAATAATTTGGGTTCCCCCAGAAACCTGCTGGGTTGTGGTGTTGGTTATTTTATTTTATTTTATTTTATTTTATTTTATTTTATTTTACTTTATTTTATTTTATTTTATTTTATTTTATTTTATTTTATTTTATTTTATTTTATTTTATTTTATTTTATTTTATTTTATTTTATTTTATTTTATTTATTTTTGTTCCTTCCCATTCCGTACTCTGGGAAAAATCCAGTCCGGGTTTTCCCCCATTCCGTACTCCAGGAGAAATCCAGTCCGGGTTTTCCCCCATTCCGTACTCCTGGAAAAATCCAGTCCGGGTTTTCCCCCATTCCGTACTCCGGGAAAAATCCAGTCCGGGTTTTCCCCCATTCCGTACTCCGGGAAAAATCCAGTCCGGGTTTTCCACCATTCCGTACTCCGGGAAAAATCCAGTCCGGGTTTTCCTCCATTCCGTA